ATATATATATATATATAAAATATATATATATAAACCTTGATGCATGATCTGCAGAGAATCAACTGCAATAAAATACTGCAAAAAGAGTACCTAATCAACAAAGCAAACTGGCAAACTAACATTTACAGTGACATTTGTTTAAATTATGAGGTTCTCCAACTAAGGATAAGAATTATGTCATAATCAAGACAATCACTGAAACCAAAGTAGTCTGACAGCAAGGCTCCAATCTCACAAAGGTTATGAGACCCAGAGACTCTGACAGGTATGATGAATGCATGCTTCATCCTACTGAAAAGCAGGAGAAATTTAAAGCAAGGATTTGTTCTGTTTGGCTAAAAAGAGGATGATCTCAACCAAACTCATGTCAGAACATGTCAACTGGTTTCTTAATTTACTGAAAAGTGCATTAATTGGCAGGTACTGGCAAAGCATGTTTCACAAGTCTTTATCAAAACCATATTGTCTCCCCTAGTGGAGTTTTATGTGCCACAAAACCAGTTTTTGAAAGAAAACTTAAGCACATCTTCCCTGCAAAGGAAACAGTGAGATGTTGTAAAACAATTTTCACACCAACTTCAATAAAAGCTCTTTGCAAAGATTGCTTTTTCCTCATTTTAACATCAGTTACGGAGCAATCTTTTTGTAAATGTTTTATCAAACTCCAAGTGTTCCACAATGTAAAAACAAGAAAGAACACGATCATTGTGATCTAACCATCTTTGTTTCCATCTAGATAAGAGCAATGCTCAATGAAAAGTAGAATGAACTGGAAAAAAAAAATAAAATCAAACATACCACAAGACCAGTTTCAGTCAGTCCTCTTCCACTTGACAAAAAACAAGCATCAAAACATTGTTTGTCAAGTGTTATTAGCCCTTGAAGGTGAAGCAGCAAAAGAAAGTGGTTTACATATTATTTAGAAATATGGGTTACTTGCAAAACTGGAATATTTAAGCTTTTGTGCCTCTTCCATGGCTACGAAGCAGAATAAACAACTGCTATAGATCACATCTGAAAACATGCATAAATCACCTCAGTTCATTTGCAGATTCATTCTATAAATGGGTATTAGTTAAGTTCCATTTTAGTAGTCCCTTGCCTGAGGAACAAAACAGAGCACAGATTCACTTTGCTTCCGAACTACCCTTAGCATCAGCCTCCTCAAAAGGTTCGTTCCTACTTCAAATTCTCCCTTCTCCTGTCATGGCTTCAGCTTTATTTTGTGAATCTTTATTCATTAATTCCTGTAGATTGTTGCTGATTGTTGTCCTATACAGATGCTGGAAAAAGCTGGGGAGACATTTTGGCTAGCCCAAAAGTCCTAAGATACTTTCCCAAACCATTTAAATCAAAAGATGGTAAGTAAAGTGTGTAATCGCTCCCTGCTGTGACAGTGAGGAGGAGGAAGGAAACAAAACTCAGCAGCACAGGTGGAATATTAATGCATATTTATCAACGAGGAAAAGCAATCAGGCTACTGGTAGTCCACACAGTACCAGTCACTAAGTACTCTGTGACCATATCAGATAGCTAAAACGTCCAACCATGCATCAACAAGGGAATGTCACAGATGCTCACGTTGGGACTTGACCTTGTAAATAAGGCTGACATGACATGAAGCTTACAGAGAACGTCTTTAAGTATCCTCAATAAGCAGAGAGAAATAAATTCACAAAGACAAGAGAAAGACAGACCTTGTCATTTCATCCCGATGCTCTTACTACAAAATACACAACTATACGCTCCAAAAAAGCATCAGCATCTTCAGTCAATGGAATCACAGTTTCCAATATGTTCAGTGATGCTTTGGACCCAATGACTACTGCAAACCATCTATAACCCCACAAAATTCACTCCAGACACAGACTAAAACTGCATTCTGGGTATTAAAACATCTTCTATTTTACCTTGGTTTCATGGAGTTACAGATAATATAGATAACATAGATCATCTGAATTAAGGAGGGTTTGCTAGTTTTTTTTCATTGTGAATGGGATGATGAAGGGAGTGGAGCATCTCCCTTCTGAGGAAAGGCTGAGGGGGCTGGGTCTCTTTAGCTTGGAGAAGAGGAGACTGAGGGGGGACCTCATTAATGTTTATAAATATGGAAGGGGTGACTGTCATGAGGATGGAGCCAGGCTCTTCTCAGTGGCATCCAATGATAGGACAAGGGGAAATGGACATAAGCTGGAACATTGGAGATTCCGCTTAAACATGAGGAAGAACTTCTTCCCAGTAAGGGTAACAGAACACTGGAACAGGCTGCCCAGAGAGGTTGTGGAGTCTCCTTCCCTGGAGATGTTCAAAACCCGCCTGGACGTGTTCTTGTGTGATCTGATCTAGGTGGTCCTGCTCCAGCAGGGGGATTGGACTAGATGATCCTTTGAGGTCCCTTCCAATCCCTGACATTATGTGATTCTGTGTAATGTTCGGGTGATGGGGCTGTTTTGTTTTGGTGGGTTTTTTTTGTCAAGTACATTCTCTGTAGAAGGAAAACACTATCCTGAAATTATTATTTTATGATATTAGTAAAATGGACAAGAAAACCAACACACACTTTGAAAGACTATTAATGTCAGTTTTAAAGCTTTACTAGGCAAAACTCCCTAGTGTTAACGTCTCTATGTTCACGTCAGAGGGGAAAAAAAAAAAAAAAAAAAAAAAAGCAAAATCTTGTTGTTTTTAGGAGCTGTAGCAGCAAAGCTACTTTTTCACTCGCCGTCTCTGGTGGCTGCTTGGTGCTGCCAGCGGGCCCCACCAAAATGGTTCAGTTGTGTGAAGGGACTCAAGAGAGAGGAGACCTCTGATGGCTGCTGTGATATTTGCAGACGCTCTGCACTGAGAACGAAGTGAAGTTGGCAACAGAATTCAGGCATGAAACGATTTACCACGGAATTCGAGCCTATTTTCTCCATGTGTATCCAATATTACTATGCACTGTGCAGCTTTTAGCACTTTTTAGGTAAAAATCACTGCAGTGTTGTAGGCTACACCCTGCATAACCATGCCTTGGGTCACTTTGTACAAGGACCACGTAAAGGTGACTTTGTCACTAAGGCTGGGTAAGGGAATTTCAGAAACAAGTTCACACAGTTCTTGCAGAAATTCAACCACAGAAATCCCGTGTGTCTTTAGAAGCCACCTGAGATGAGAGAATTTACATTTTCCCTGCATACCTAGCTCTTTCTTTCTCTAGGCCTCAGTTCCTCATCGGGAAAAGCAACGACAACAGCATCTATCTTATAACAATATATGCTCAGGCACAATAAGGTGACAAGGACAAAAGATCCTAGATACAAAGATTACAACATATGTTTAACATCCTACTTCTTTACCAGCCCAAAACCGTAATACATATATTCCAGCAACCAAAAGAACAATGTGGTTGAATCCTACCCCCTAACCTGACAACACCACTCTTCACACTTTGTGAAAATCCTCAGGTGGCCAACAATCCTCACCAGCTGAACTTACACTTTAGGTGTCAGCTCTAGAATCAAAGCAATCGATGATGACAGTGTCTGTAAAAGCAAAGCTAATAAGCAGGAATCAGCATCAACTGGAGCGAACTAGAAGATGTTTCCTTTTGACTATATAACCAGCTCACGCAGACCTCATTCATGAGTTTGGACAGTTTATGATCTCAGCAATTCCTGTCCTCAAATAAGTAAAATTTCCCTCTCAGAGGAATTGTCAGCTTAGTTAAAATACTTAAAGCATTTTGCACTTAATGCTTCTCTCGCATTCTGAGTGATTAAAATTTATCTACAAACCAAAGCTGCTCTTGAGATAAAAACACTCTTGAGCTTCTTTAATACAACTTAAATATTATGTAGATAAAAGAAACAAATACACACTGTGATTTCATGAGAAACATGTTACTATATGAAAATAGGCAGTTCAGCTGCATTCAGGGAGAGGTTCCATCCCAGGGTGCATTAAACAGGCAGAGGGGACACGAGAAAAAGTGAACTCAATGACAGTGGAGTTTGACTACATTGGTAGGAACCTGCAGTCTCCACTCATGGCAAACACCACATGATCTTTACATGAAAAAGCAGATGTGAAACCGAGATTTTGACTATTTCAGGAGATCTGCTGCAACCCAGGGTGGGGAGGCTTTGATCACTGCAGATGCTGAAGATCCTATAACGGTATTTCACAACAGCACCTACATTAACATAGCAGGCTGGAGAAAATCTACTTTCATTAACTGAAGTTTGCCTGAAATATTCACTACTACTGCACTCATATGCAATATTTTTAACTTCCTGACCTGATGGGTAACATAGCACTGATGAAGTTCAACACACTGAGCTGCACCACCGATGGGCTGAGACACAAGACTGAAAAAGTACTGGTGAATGAGCACGTTCAGCATGAAGAAAGAGGAGGGTTGAAGAATCAAAGTATTAATGTGAGAGTACAAGAGATGCTTCTGCATTCCGACAGATCTCGCAGTAAGGCAGATGTATGAACCTACACTCCAACCACAAGGCAAATAATTGAAATACAGTACATTATTTTACCTGTCTTTGCATCTCTTCAATCTGTCGCTGGGGGACACTTTGCAGAATACTGTACATTTCAGGCATCTTTTCTTCAGGGATGACAACTGAGGCCCTGTAAGCAAAAAAAAAAAAAAAAAGAAAACAAATGGTGAAATAAGAAGAAAAGTTCTACATTAAAAAATGTCAACAGCTTTTCCAATCCAGAATTTTGTCCTATTCTAATAAGACACATTCAGAAGACATTAGCAGAAAGAAACAGTCTTCTCTCAGTGTAAGTGATTATTCTGTAGCAGTTCCTTCACAACACTAGCCAGTCTGCCCACAGATAATGCCACAAAAGTCTGTGGCCTGATCTGTACTGACAATCTAATAAACATGGAAGAGGCAGAGACCCAGAAATCCTGAGCTCTCATCTCTGGATTGCCACTGACCTACTGTCAGCTGAGATTTTTGCAGTGACCAAACAGTAATAGCATATACAGTGCTATGTATACAAGCCAGTAATTTTTGTACATATTATCCTAAGATCATATAACTGGGCATAGTGGATGCATGGAAAAATAATCTGAGTTCTTAACATAGTATACTCAGCAAAAAATAATCATACCTTTCAGTCTCAGAGGAACTTAGGAATCATGATACAACATACAGAATTTAGAATTTATGTGATGCAATTTTTAGCACATACTTTTCACAAAAGAGCCTGAATGCAGACCAGCCCTCACTGAATTCAAGACAAGATAACAAAGCAAGTCTGTTTTAGAAAAAAAATATCATCGGCTACAGGATAATCAAATGCTCTGTCATTTCTGCCTCGTTTGTTTTCCTCTCCTATTTTTGATGCATAATATATCAAGGGGTACTATATTATTGTGCAGCCTACTCCCTGTAACCCTCAGTACACCTGACTCATCACAAAGCTTTTATTCAAATCACTGAATGCAATGAAGTCTCGTGCAGTGGTTCCACGTACAACAGGGAGGGTACAGACCTCTTCCAGTCCAGAACCTCAGAGAAAGGTAAAATGTAGGAGTCAGCAATGATGACTGGGATGCAGCCAGCTTGAAGAACATCGCTTAGCACAGCCTGTCCCAGGCGGGCTCCACGTAGAACGACACAGAACGTAGATTCCTGTCAACAAATGGTATCCAACACACAGATGAGGGGAAAAAAAAGGAAATGTTAGATTTGTATTGTGTGTGTATGTATGTATTATGCTTTCCTGCCCTCCCCCTCGTAAAAAAAAAAAAAAAGTCAAAAGGAAAACAGGCATGCTCCATGCAACCAATGTATTCTGAATTATTGGCTAATTCAAAATAATTATGCAACTTTACCTTCCAGAGGCTCAAAAATATCATGAGTTGGAGAGATGAGAAATCAGCTAACGGGGCTATTCTATATTTTATTTTAATTGCCAAACTTCAGAAAATTCTAAGTGAGAAAATTCAAGGACAGAAGTAAGTTAAACGTTTTGAAAGTTTGGCCTAACAAGATAAGCAACAATCAACATGAACTTACTGAATACAAACTGCATGAAGCCAACCTAATTTTCTTCTATTATAGGGCAATCCAGCTCTGCTATCTTGTCTGACAGCAGACAAGTAATTCCATATCTCAACTTTAAAAGGCATTTGACATAATCTTTGATAGCATTTTCATAGGCAAATTAAGAAATGATGGGCTAGATAAAGCCATCATGGGCTTTATAGTTACATAAATTATAGTTACAGGGCTCTTAAGTGTAAAGCAGTTAGTGGTGGCTCACGGGTAAAACAGTGATGGACCACATAATCTTTCCTAAGTATTCAGTGTGTCCCTTAGTAAATGAAGCAGCAGAATTCAGACCATACCCATTAGATCTGACAACGCCTATGATTTTGTAGGATTGGCAAGCATAATGCATAACAGGACTAGAGTTTGACATTACCTGGATAAATTGAGTAAAAAAATACCGATACATACAGGGTTCAACACTTAAGACAAAAATAACCGACTGCACAAATATAAAGCATGAAGGAACTGGCTAGGTTTTGCACTTTGCAGAAGAGGAAATTTCCTACAAAAGGACGGGAAAAGAAAGGATATTCACGTGCCAGTAATGTTGTGCTGTTGAGAAACAAACCACTCCACTCACAGGTTGTATTAGAATGCAAAAAGAAGTATAATCTAAGAGACATGAAGGAATCACTCGCTCTTCTCAGTAATAAAAGACCTCAGAGCAGTGTGCTCAGTGTTGGGCAATGCACTTCCAGGGTTAAAACCCAAGGATGATCACTTACCTTGAAAGCATGATCTACAAGGAAAGACTAACCATGTCTATACTACTTATTCTGAAGGCGAGAAGGCAGGAGGAAGATGGCTAAAGGGAGCTTCAAAGATAGAAAAAGTTGCTGCAAAAAGGAAGAATGTAATCCACTTACTCATGTCCACAACACACAAGACAAAAAGCCAGGAGTTTAAAGCAGCAGAGAAGATGTCTTGACTACACTGCACTGATCCTGTAAATAGGGATTTTCGTTCTTACTGACACTGAGAAATCTTGCTACAGAGTCAAGATCACAAAATAAACACTTGCAGAGCTCAGCTACACAAACAAGGAAAAAGCGCAAGTCCCTAAGCCTAAGAAAGAAAAATTATAAAGTTGATCGAGGGGCTCTCACAGATAAGAAAACATCTTTCCAGCTTGTGTTGTGTGGCCTGAGGAAACGGAGCCAGGAGGCTCAGCAGGGCAGCAAAACATCAAAATGGATCTAGGAAATACGAGGGGGCTTGCTGGCTCTTCACTTGTTTCCTAATGCGATGGTTGGCCCCGTGTTCGTACCCACAGAGTACTAAAAGCCTTGAAAATCTCATCCAAGACAAGACTGCACACAGGAAGCATCAGCAACCCAGAAGTCCAAGAGTTTGTCTAGTAGGAAGTCTGTAAAGGCAGTCCTGGAAAAAAAATCAAAATAAAAATCGCAGTCCCTCTTCCCCCACTCTCAGACAGGAAGAGAAGGAAAAGAGGGGTCCAAGGAGCTGAGAGAAGGAACACACATTTTAACCACTGACTCACTAGATCACATAGCAGCAGGTGGAAGAGACTCCAGTAAGGTCTGGGAGAGGGGAAAAAAAAAAAAAAGCAGCCCAGATGTGGACACACATGCTCATCTGCCCAGATAACCATTTTTCCTGTCTAGACAGAGGTTACTATAAATACATCTCCTCGCATCACCACTGTTATCAGCCAGACATTCCAAAGGGAGATGTAGGGCTCTGCAAAGGAAAGTATTTTAACAATCTCGGCATGTGCCAGCTCTCCTCTTAGTTATAAAATCATATATAGCAAGATATAGACACAGATTCCCTGACTCCTTGAGCTATCCAGTCTGTATTTAAAGAAATAAAGTAAACTTTCTCTTTTTTTTTTGCCATTTGGCTGAAAGTTTAAGACTCAGAGTGACCCTTTCTTCCCTCTCTCCCTCCTCCACAAGGAATTTTCAACGTATTTCCTACAAAACACAACAGAAGGGGTGGAAACTTTGCCTTTCCTCAGCTTGTTTGTTATTTTATCGGCATTTGCTGAAGTTCAAAGACAGATTATGTGCTGGTGGCCACGGACGGAGCACGGTGGCCTATGGCATAACTCACTTCACCAACGCACCTCTCTGTTAGTCACCTGCCAAGAGACACGGGGGGCTGAGAACGCTATCTCATTTTAGCTTCCCTGGCACATCAAAAGACCTCTGGAAGCTGGGCCAAGGCCATGAAACACATTTCACCTAGATGTTTTCATAGCTGCATGCTGACAAGTCTTCTAGCTCAGTCTGTCAGAATTTTGTAGGGTTTAACTACTAAGCTGCACGCAAAAAATGTAATCTGACCAAGTCTGCTTAAACGTAGCACCCTTTTTTGCCCCCAAAGAAATCCATGCCTAAGCCCTTTTAAAGTTCATTTTAATCTTCCCTCCTATTGGCAAATCCATCCTCTGTTCCAAGCTTCATCTAGCAAGGTCTGGACTGCTACAGGTGAGAAATCAATTCCAAATTCATGCCTGCTGAAGATCATTTTGCCGGTTATTCCAGAAGGTGTAGATTCCAATGTTCTTCCCCAGTTTTCAAGTGAGCAATTTTGTCTGGCCTCCCAAAGTTTCTCCTCCCATGCCTGCTGGATTTGGCAGTATCTTCAGATCATTTTTTAAGTTTACGTGACGTTGTCACATGTTCCTAGAAGACCCTCATGACCAACCTCATGAAGTTGTTATGCATAAGCAGTGTTTTCCAATCGCAGCGTAGTCTGCATATCAGTTTGAGTACATGGTTCCTGACTCTCTTAAAAATAAGAATAAAATAAGGGTATAACATCCAAGCTAACATAATGAATGATGCCATTTCCACGCAGACAGCAAGCTAACTCAACACAAAGAAGTACCCTACCAGTGCTAAACAGGAACAGCTCCACAGCTAGGACAGTCACCAATGGGAAGGGAAGTTTGCAGAAGAGACAGCCTTACCTGGAGCACCTGAGGATAATCAAAGACTTGATTCTTGTGGCAGCGTTTGCGAGCAGCAGGGACCCCATCTGACAGATTTGTACATTTGTCTAGGATCAGCACTGATTCCCCATTCTCAGCTTGAAGAGCTTCCAACTCAGACCGGTATTCCGGGTGCAGAGCCATTTGAGATGACAGAATGAAATACCTGCGAGGTCTGAAAAACCACAGCAAGGTTACCTCACAGCACTGCGAGTTCACTTCCAAGATGCTCTAGAACATATTTCCTTCCATCCTGGAAAAGCAGAGCAAGATTAACTATATGTGGACACACTGCCAAGACTGTCTTTTCAGGCAAGGCTGGAAAGGGTAATGATGCAATATAATTAAATCTTGGATAGCAAGTGGCTCAGCTTTGTTTACAACTTCGAATAAATTCGTACTTGGAAAGTGCTTATTCCATTAGAATAGGCATTTGCGTTAGAACTTCTATTATAAACCGAAATAAACATTATTTAACTACCTATTAAAACAGCTTGCTACTGATGTCAGGATTGTTTGTTCTATTGTTTGGTGTTTGTATACTATAACAAAGTAGACAGGACATTCCATGTTGCAGCTGGTTTCTCTTCCCATGTACTTTCTCATCAATTTTAATTGAAAAAAAGATGCTGAACTGGCAACTGATAACCTTGTGTTTATTTATCACAACTCACAACGGATAACCTTGTGCTTATTTAGTCTTGATATGGTAACAGCAACAACAGGACAGGCTCATCTCATGAGCTGTGAGTCAGTTCTGTCCCTTTTGGGCAACGTAAAGCAACATTTCCAGGACAAAGTTGAAGGCCTGTTATCTCATTCACACTCAACTCCTACCATGTTCCAAAAACCATGACTATTTAAAACGTGCCTTAATACTAGATACTAATTCAGACTAGATATTAGGAAGAAATTTTTTACCATGGGTGTGGTGAAACACTGGAACAGGTTGCCCAGAGAGGTGGTGGATGCCCCATTCCTGGAAACATTCAAGGTCAGGTTGGACGGGACTCTGAGCAACCTGATCTAGTTGAAGACATCGTGCTCATCGCAGAGGGGCTGGACTAGATAACTCTTAAAGGTCCCTTCCAACCCAAACTGTTCCATGATTCTACCAATACTGAAGCATTTCAAGACACTAATTAACCTTGGAGGTAAACCACACAGGAATACAGTCTCAAATTAGGCGCTCACAGCTTGAAAAAGTTATGTTAATGTTTGAGTATAAGAATTACATGACATGCTATTCTCCTTCTCATCTACTTTGGTTTCCTTTTTAAACAGGTCACTGCTGCACCGCTCCCCACTGAAAGGGACACACAGCGAGTGCCTGTCCTCACGCTGCCAAAAGAACTTGGGAAACACGAGGCCTGTGCTTAGGATTCCAGTTCTACTCCACATGATGCTATCTTTTTTATCTAATTTACAGCTCTGAAAACACAGACAAACACACACTTTATAAAGTCAGACCTTTCCTGCTGCTCTTCTCACCTCTTCTATTCATTTTCATGCTGGTCACTTTAGTTGCTCCAATTAACAGATGAGACTTGCATAGAATTTTTTTTAAACATTCTTTTTTTCCCAAGCCTCCAGCTGCTACCAACTTGCTACCAGCAGCTCTACAGAGTATTTCTAGCAGAGGTGGATTTAAAATATTTTAAACTGTCCAACTAAAAAGGAGAGTGAATCAAAACTCCTCAGTTCAGCTCTGTAAGAGGAATAAAAAAGGATTTGTCTTTAGAAAAGGAAATACTGCTGCAGATGAGTAATAATAAACGCCTATAACGAGCTAAACATTATGCAGGTTGGTTTGTGTATATGTTTAAAACCAAATTTTGCCTTGAAACTGTCATCATCCCATGACACTCAAAATGCAGCCATCAAATCTTGCTACAAAAGAAAGTACATACATTTCGATGAGATCTAAGGAAGAAATTTTTCACTCTGAGGGTGGTGAGGCACTGGCACAGGTTGCCCAGAGAAGCTGTGGCTGCCCCATCCCTGGCAGTGTTCAAGGCCAGGTTGGATGAGGCTTTGGGCAACCTGGTGCAGTGGAGGGTGACCCTGCCCATGGCAGGGGGGTTGGAACTGGATGATCTTTGAGGTCCCTTCCAACCCAAACCTTTCTATGATTCCATGATTCCTAGGAAATAACACACTAGTGTAGTGGAATGTAATAATTTAGCCCAAGCAAGCCCAAATTCTAAGCATCGTTCCCTTGTCACATTCCTGCATAAAGCAATCAAACCTGTAAATGCTGTTTCCATTACTAATGCCAACTGGCCACTAGATGGAACTCCAGAGACCACGGTCTGTTCCCCACAAAAAACACACTGTGTTGGACTGTAGTAACACTTGAGATCTAGCAAGAATCAACTGGGATGCAACCAGAAGCCTCTACACTGGCCTGGTCCAGAGGCATCACAAGGAGGAACATAGAGTGTGAGAAAAGCCAATCACTGCTGCACAAGTTTGTCCTGTAGTAGAGTGGGACACCTTCCTTGGTGCAGCCCGGAGCAACAGCGAGAGCATTGCCCTTACCAGAGGAGAAGACAACTGAAGCCAAAGCACAGTAACTTTGTGTGTCTGATCGTGGCAGCACCCTTTCAATTACAGTTTTCAACTTTCATAATTCATATCCTCTACTGGATGCTGTCGTTTCCAGCTGTGTAATTAAGAGGCTCATGAAATATCAAAAGAGCAGTCTTCCATAATCAATTAAAATGTGTCTTCCAGACTTCCACCTACTCTTGTTCTGAAGGCACCAATGGATTAGAGAAACCATCAATTTCCAGTGTGGCTCATTTTAATTGCTAATTACATTCCCTGTTAAAATTAGTGCTTTATTAAGACAAGCACTTGTCTTGCCTTACTTTCAGCTACAAGGTCAGGAGGGTGTTTGTGTTTATGTCTTACTCCATTACTTTAAAAAGGAAAAAAATAAAATCAGTATTCTAAGCTCTGGATGGAACTATTCCCACAATCAAATAAGTTCTCATTCTTCTTTTTCACGAGTTAACAACGTTCACCTCCTTAAGACTCATTCTGCAAGAACTTCTTCCCCTCAGCGCTGCATTCACAGGCTTCTCCTGCTCAGGGTCATTTTGCAAGGACTTCAGCACCACAAAAACTTCTAAACTGATTTACAAAGAACGTATCCGTAAAGCATCCAGAGGTAAAGATCACACCTTCGCTCCTCTTACTCCAAGTTTGCACTGGCTGGTACTATTTGAGATACTCGTGTTGATCCCTTCTGTCTCTTTAAAGTCACAGCAGAGGTATAGGATGCTGCTTTTATCACTGCAACAGTTATTTTTTGCCATTACTTTGCTTTTAAGTATCCTAAAATAAATTTTTTTGAAGCAGTCATTTATTAGGTCATCTATATTGCTTTGAATAACTGCCCTGCTCTACTCACCCTTTAAAGAAAGCAAACCTATTACCAACTACTTTTATTTCTGTCTGAAACAGCTTGTCAGTTCACTGGAAATACTGAATCTAATTCAGCTAGAAACACTGTTACGCTATCATCTTTCACAGTTCAGTTTCTGGAGTGGGAAAAAAAGAATCACTCCAAAAAAAAATCCTCAGTTTGGAGCTAAACCACACGTTGGCAGATGAGCCAATGCCATCAGCATGGGAACCATCATATATTTTAATAGCAAGAGCCATGCATGAGCCCACCAACAATCAGAAAACTGCCCAAGCCAAGCAGCTATATTTATATTTTATCAGCATCCCTATTAAACACAATATTGAATACATTTTGCCCAATTCATGGGAATTGCTTTACCCCAGTCCTCTTTCTGGCAGATCCACTTCCCCTGACAACGGGCTGTACACAGGAATGCTGACATCGTAGCCTTGCCGGTAAGTCCACGTGGAGAAGCCTCCACCAGCCAGCAGAGCTCTGAAAAATAAAAAAAAATGACTTTAAACAGAGTACACAGACCACTCAAACTCAGAGCACGACTTACTGGTCATCATTACCAGAACATCAAGACGATCCGTGCTTGAAGTTTTTCCCCCTCATCTTTTGTCAGTGGCATTTTTCATGCAGTTTTTTTGGTTCACTTTAGTTATTGTGACCTGGGCTTACTGCCAGACTGGATCTCATCAACAGAACACTTATGATTGCATAGGAACACTGAGAAAAGGACCATTGTTGCATTAATATAGGGAAATTTAAGCCATTGCAGTCACACTGATAATTTCACACTTTTGCAAGCTTAAATTAAAATTGACTTAGGACATGTAAAGAAATTTATTCTTAATTATTTATACTTGTCAGCATATTCCTTGATGCCTGCACTAAATCAGTGTGTAGCACAGCTCTCAAAGTGTTAGAGACAAGTGATATTTCAGATTGGAGAGGGACTTTTTACTGGAGAGGGACTTTTCACAAGGCTATGTAGTGATAGGACAAGGGGCAATGGCTTTAAACTGAAAGAGGGCAGATTTCGATTAGATCTAAGGAAGAAATTTTTCACTCTGAGGGTGGTGAGGCACTGGCACAGGTTGCCCAGAGAAGCTGTGGCTGCCCCATCCCTGGAAGTGTTCAAGGCCAGGTTGGATGAGGCTTTGGGCAACCTGGTGCAGTGGAGGGTGTCCCTGCCCATGGCAGGGGGGTTGGAACTAGATGATCTTTGAGGTCCCTTCCAACCCAAACCATTCCATGATTCTATGAAATCTGGGTACAATAACACAGGATTTTGGCAGCTTACAGTGACACTGGACTTCTCAGGCTGGAAAATAAAACGGAGTCATTTGTGATTGTATTTTCAAAGTGATCATACAAAGCAGTGAAATTTATTTCATTTTTATATCACACAAACTTAAAACATGACAATAAGAACTCTGTATGTTCTGAAACTAACTTCCAACAGTAGAGGTTGCTTGGGACATTATGTGCTAGGAAGCATGGGAATCATCAAAGATTGATAAATTAAGATGTAATTCAACCTCCCAACAGGATGAGCCTGATTGCCTGTGGGGCAACCTTTTGCCACACAGAAGAGCTTTAAGAAACAGAGGAGAATGACACGTACGAAAGAAAGCAATGAAATGCATCATTCACAATGCTAGAAAAAACGGGCTTGTTACTATCTCCTATCTCAAATCAGGCTGCTTTGGAATACACTAGTAGAGGACACCAGCTTTTCAGTTGCCATTTCATCTCCAGTGACCAGGTGGCACCATGGACACATCATCCTGTTTCCAAAAGAAGCTCAGATTCAGCTTCTTTAGTGAAACTTCTCAAACAGCTGATAAAACTTTCAGTCCTTTGTCACTGAACGGCAGGGCATGCAGTCCTTTAAATTGCCCCAGGGATGCTGGGTCTGCTTAAGGTACCATACAAAATAGTTTGGAAAAAAAATATTTCTCCAATTCCAGTTTCTCTCCTCCTCTGTGGAAAGAAGAAGATAAATAGAGCACTACAGAACGGATCTTGAGGAGATGTACCCATTATAGCAGCTATGATTACAGCCAAAAGCCTTATTATCACAAGCTTGCATGCTGGCACAGCTCGGATCTGAGCAGGCACATGTCTCATCAGTAATGAGAAGAGACTCATCAGAACAAAAAGTCAAGGTGAGGTGAGAAGAGGCACTGACAACCCATTAGGTGATATTGTTTTCAGATATCACCGAATGAAAACCTTAGTAAAGTGTTTGGAGAGGCATTTTTTCCACAGCTTTTACACAACAGATTACTGTTATTATACCTATAATTCAAGACCTGTGATTTCTTCCCACCAGGACATGACACTCTGGTTAAACACCACTATGTTCTGCCAGTTCTAACTCTCATCTGATGTCCCACGGGATACTTTACAGCACAGTTGTTCAGTGTTCAAAGACCACAATCATACTCTGTCATAAGTCACTCCAAGTCCTAAATGTCAGTTCAGAAGCAATATGAAAATCCCAGTCTCTGGATTAAAGGATCTGGATTGGAGACACATTGCAGCTTGATAACAATCACAAAAAATCAAAACAACTTGCCCTTTATCACTCTTCACTCAGAACACAAACTATTAGCAGGAGCAGAAATCAACTCAAGAACAGGATGACAAATCAAGTACGTGCTGGGTGAGAACTTGTGTTCCAAATCAAGTGATTATTTTGGATTCCTTTCCAATGCCTTCCCACTACTTTGACTAGGTCTCACCCCTGAAGCTGCATGTTCCATGTCTTACCCACATTAACTCAGTCACAAGCAGGGAGAAAAAAATTGGCTTTGGTGTTGCTGTTCTTGCACTTTATATCCCCCTCCTCTTTTTTTAACACCCCCCCTCCCCAATTGGGAAACTACAACCAGATTGTTTTAATTGGATCCGGTGAAAACCTGACAGCACCTCATCAGCCTTGAGGAAGCAGGTGTGTGTCATGCAGACTTTTACCTAAATAAACCCAAAGGGAACCAACACCAGTTAAATAACTCCACTTAAATTTTCATTGTACGGTGCAGTAAGGGAGTAGAGATATTAACTCCTAATGTACTCGAGACAAATAATCTTTAGATTGCACTGATCAGTGAGAAATGAGCCTGTTCCTCAGCAACTTCTCACCACTTTTCAAATATTTATCCTTCTTCCTCTCCAGAAAGTGCCCCAACTGGTCTGAACTCTAAATGTTTCTGCCCAGCTGCCATCATCATCAGCCTTCTGCCAAACTTCACAAGTCACTGCAACCCAATTCATCAACTGAAGCAGAACAAAAAAGTATCTTAGTTCATATGTTCAATTCTACAGCTACAGAGCAGGTCAGCAAAACAAATCCTTTCATCCTCAATATCATACAAAATTCAAATGTGTTAACAAATAATAAAGAGCTTAATTTTTAAGTTTTATGGCAGGGGGGTAAAAATGTTGTGGCAGCTAATACCAGCAACACAGCCTCCATGCCCACAAGGCAAATCTCCACTTGGAAATTATGGAATAAAGTGCTTTTACTCTGTCTTTGGAAATTGGTTAAAAAAATTTAAGAAATAAATAGCCTCTTAGTGAGGCAACTTGGCTACAAGACTTTTCCAGATGTATCATACAATCATGTATGTATCATATAATTGAAATCCCCTTTGTGCATAAGGTCTTATTTTACCTGGATTAATATTCTGCAGCAAACCAACAGAACGCAATTCTACCAAACCCCAGGATCTACTACCCTTCAGCTACGTCAGATCTCGGATAGAACGTGCTGAACAGAGAAGGCAGGCCACACTCCCTGTGCAAACCTCACAAACATCACCTGTGCGTTCCACAAGTGATCCACAAAATCCCACAAACCCCATCTTTCTGGAGTTGTACTGGGACAGTTCAGACCAGTCATTCAAAACCAGCTAAACTCTGCCAACATACCTTTATTCTGACCTGCAGCCTCTCACCCTGGGATGCTACAAACAACTCTTCTTCACACTTTGTTAACTACCCAGTTGCCTTCCAGTACTTAAAGGGGGCCTACAGGAAAGCTGGAGAGGGACTTTTTACAAGGGCATGTAGTGACAGGACAAGGGGCAATGGATTTAAACTGAAAGAGGGGAGATTTAGATTGGATAGAAGGAAGAAATTTTTCACTCTGAGGGTGGTGAGGCACTGGAACAGGTTGTCCAGAGAAGTTGTGGCTGCCCCATCCCTGGAAGTGTTCAAGGCCAGGTTGGATGAGGCTTTGGGCAACCTGGTGTAGTGGAGGGTGTCCCTGCCCATGGCAGGGGGGTTGGAACTAGATGGTCTTTGAGGTCCCTTCCAACACAAACCATTCCATGATTCTGTGATTCTACCCACTCTGTAACACACGTGGACATTCTCAAATTAAGAAAACACACTCAGTTCTCTTGTTCTGTTAGACATGAACTACGATCTCCAGAGGCCTCCGAAATCATCCTGTAACCTCATCCTGCACCACTCGGGCCCTTCCAGGACTAGGTCTGCACTACTGACTTTTTCCACGGATCCTTTGTCTTTGCACCTGTGACCTGCAGTACAGGTTCTGTACTACAACGAATACAGTTTAACTGTTGGCTGCCCACACAAAGGAGTTCCCACCTTTTCTCTGTCCCAAGCACTGTTATTCCATCTCTTCTGTACTACAGCTAGTGATCATACAGCTGCAGGGTGAGTCAGTTTGACAAAATACGACGACAGCTGGGTGCCAAAAAAGATGTGACTTTTTTAATTCGAATTATTCAGCTTTCCATGTTAGCGTGACAAACACTTAGAACAAACACCTACCAAAATAATACATTTCCTGCATAAGCCAAGACACATAGGCCAAATATAAATGGACATTTGACACAAAAAAAAGTTTAAAAAACCCCCAAGTTGTGCAGTGTAAGAAATCTACTGCATTCAATTAATAGATCTGCTTCTTCAGTAGACACATGCATCCACAAACATGCGGTCCCAGAGCAGTCCATGCCATTAAAAAGAGCACTGCCAAATGAAAATTCCCCTGAAGAAGCACAAATAATAACAAATACAAGTATTTACTAACCCACTAACAGGTCTGGTTACGTAAGAATGATGCTTGACTGCCCTCTTCAGGCAAACCCACAAGCATATAAGGTATTTCATACAGAGAAGTAAAAAACTAAAGCCTTACTTTACAGTCAGTAACATTACTTACAAACTTACTCTTTGAACATGCCCAGAAAAAACGTGTCCTGTTCTGGCACTGAAGGATGTTTTAAACAGTCTTTCGTGCAAAGAAGTCAAGATAGACTCCATACATGATCATCTTAGCAAAGATCCCATATCTCAGGCAAGATGTTGCTGATGTTTGGCAGAAGAAAGTTAACCTTGACCTTCAAGAGAGGGACTGGTTGCACCTAACTCAGCAGAACTAAGCACCTATAGGCTACTCTAGTAGAAAGGTAATCAGTAACAGTATCTAAGCTAAATAAGTTTATCTTGCTCTTATTTCAGTTTTCTTTGCCTCACAACCTCCTTTACTCTTCAAAAATTAAACTATTCTGCAAGTGAAAACTGAGTTCAGGCAAGTTTCTGGCAAATATTTTCAAAACACACTTGCCAGAGAATAGCTAAGAGCACTTGTTCGATCACTAACACAGTGTAATCGTTAAGATAACAAAAACTATTGAAATTCACCATAGTTTTGCCAAGTAGAGCAGTTGCTTTAAAATGCCCTTGAAGCACCTGACTTCTACCAGAAAGCTGCAGCTATAATCATCTTAGAATTCCTAATTTGCCTCAAACAGGACATTCTGCAAAGCGTTGAGGTTGGGTAACACACAAGATACAGATCTAACCTCAAGATTCTCCATCCTTACAGCAAGCCCTACAGTTAAGAGCAAACTCTGCCAGCCACATCCCGCACGAAATTGAGGAAGGGGGTAAACTGTCGGATTTCAGGAGCAAACGCTTGTCCTATACGAGACAGGAACTTCTCTACTTCCCCTTTTTGAGAAGGGATGGAGTCATATTCCAGCTTTGTAAAGGTTAAGGAGCATGTCCTTTGCCATCAGCTGCACTTCTGAGCTCGTTGCTTCTTCAGTGGCATTTAAACCCAGACCTGTGCGTTGAATCCCAGCCAAACACATACCTGTCTCTAGGAACATCGAGGGCAGTGTTATAATCTGGTGGCCCTCCAGGCAGCATGTTGAAGAGCAAGTGATTCATGCCTCGATCCCACCTACAGCAAAAGAGGAAACAGGAATTAGAAAGATGTTCTCTACATACAGAGAAGTTCTGTCAAAGCCTACCTCTGCCATTGACTCACTACGTCCTCCCCACCAGCATCAACCTTGGTTTTTTCCACTTTGTGTCCTTCAAGCTCGCACACCAAAGTTTCAAGAAGTACCTGGATAACTGTGCCAAAGCCTGAGCTGTCTCCTTGATACGGAGAGCGTTCTGATTGAGGACATCTATGGATGGCACGAAAAGGCAGGCGCGGTTGACGTCGTCAGTGTAGAACTCGCTGTCGGAGATGGCAGTTAACAGCTCGTTGTATTCCTTGGAAATGGTGTTGCTCACCGACGTCCCGTATTCATCCACGTACTTCTTCAGTGAGTAGATGTACACCTTGATTTTGTTTTTAGGATTGAAGCCACATCGATAGACATCGAAGCAAGTGTGCATCCTGCAGCTGAGGTCTCCCCGCTCAGGAATGGGGCTATCGGCGGGAAGCTTGACCACAGGCACATCATGGACACTGCGTTTTTCAACTGTCCAGTCACTGGATGACTCAATGGAGTGAGGCCAGAACTGGAACATTCCTGTGGCAATTAGGCCAAGCAGAACTATGGAAAAGAGGGTGATGTAGTAGATGCGATGCTTGGTTTTCATCCTTGGGATGAGGGCTGGACCCCGGGTGTTGTATTTGGCTGACGCACACATAATGGAATCAATTATCTCTTGTCTCTACAAAAGAGAAAGAGAAAGGTTTTAGGATGAACTCTGGAAAAGATACATAGTTATCACAACCCCAAAAAACATCCAGTGAACCCTTTCAAGACTCAGGTTCTCTGCCTCAGCAGATTACAGTAAAATTTCTGCAGATGCTCACATGTCCCACCAGAACGGAAGACGCCAACTGGGACTGCCACTTGACAAGGACAACGTGAGGCCTTGTTGTAATGGAATGATGTCTTTGTTGGGGACATGGACAGTGGGATGGACTGCACCCTCAGCAAGTTTGCAGATGACACCAAGTTGTGTGGTGTGGTCGACACACTGGAGGGAAGGGATGCCATCCAGAGGGACCTTGACAGGCTGGAGAGGTGGGCCTGTGAGAACCTCATGAAGTTCAACAAGGCCAAGTGCAAGGTCCTGCACATGGGTCGGGGCAATCCCAAGCACAAGCCCAGGCTGGGCGGAGAATGGATTGAGAGCAGCCCTGAAGAGAAGGACTTGGGAGTGCTGGTGGATCAGAAGCTCAACATGAGTCGGCAATGTGCGCTGGCAGCCCAGAAAGCCAACCATGTCCTGGGCTGCATCCAAAGCAGCGTGGGCAGCAGGGCGAGGGAGGGGATTCTGCCCCTCTGCTCTGCTCTCGGGAGAACCCACCTGCAGTGCTGCATTCAGATATGGAGTCCCCAGCACAAGAAGGACATGGAGCTGCTGGAGCAGGTCCAGCAGAGGCCACGAAGATGATCCGAGGGCTGGAGCACCTCTGCTCTGGAGACAGGATGAGAGAGTTGGGGCGGGTCAGCCTGGAGAAGAGAAGGCTCCGGGGTGATCTTATAGCAGCCTTCCAGTACTTAAAGGGGGCCTACAGAAAAGCTGGAGAG